GGCTTGAAAACATGGACTGCCATTCACCAAGACTGACCTGGCTACAGCTTCTGTTGAGTGCTAGATCTACCAACAGAGACCAACATTGAGCCCTAGATATGGCACCATTTTATGGGGTGACCAGCCAGCAACCTGGTAGCAGGTTGACACATTGGACCACTTCCTCAGTAGAAAAGACAGTACTTTGTCCTTACTGGAGTAGATACTTGTTCTGGTTATGGATTTACTTTTATTGCACATAATTTTTCTTACCAAACTACTACCTGTGGACTTACAGAATGCCTTATCTACTCTCATGGTATTCCACACAGTATTATTTATTTCTAAGCAAGGAACTCAACTTCACAGCAGAGAAGTGTGACAGTGGGCATAGGATCATGGAATCCACTGGTCTTACCATGTTCCCACCATCCTAAAACAGCTGGCCTTTTAATTTATTATTATTTTAAGTGTATAAGTGTTTGGCCTGCATGTATGTCTGTCTGTTTATCACATGTGTAGACAGTGCCCAAAAGGCCAGAAGAGGTATTGGAGTCTCTGGAACTGGAGTTACAGACACTGTTGTGGCACCATGTGAGTGCTGGGAATCGAACCCAGATTTTCTGGCAGAATAGTCAGTGCTCTTAACCTCTGAGCCACCTCTCCAGCTCCCAACAGCTGGCCTTTTAAGACACAGTTACAGCACCAGTTATATGACAGCAGCCTGAAGGTCTGGGGCGGGGTTCTCAGAAGGCTTTGCATCCGTCTTTCTCATTTCCAAGAATTGGTGTGGGAAAGGCAGTGAGTAGTTCCTGTGCCAGTTCCAGTAAGAAAATTGTTGCTTCTTGTTCCTGTGGCCTTAAGTTCTCCTGGCCCAGAAGTTTTGGTCCTAGAGGAGGGAGTGCTCCCACCAAGAGATACAGGAAACATTCCATTGAACTGGAAGGTTAGACTTCCCTTTGGTCTCTTTGGACTTCTGATACCATTAAGAAAGGAATAACAGTGTTAGGAGGTCCGTGATTGATTCAAATTACTGAAGGAAATTGTATTGCTTCTCCATAATTGAGGTAAAGGAGATTATGTCTGGAGTGCAGGAGATACTTTAGAGCTTCTCTTGGTGTTACCATATGCTGTGATTAAAGTCAATGCAAAACTACAACAACCTAATCCATCCAAGATGATAAAGGACACAGACCCTTCAGGAATGAAGGTAGGGGTCACTCCTTTAGGAAAAGAGCCAAGACCTACTAAGGTGCTTGCTGAGAGTAGAGGAAATATAGAATAGATAGTAGAGAAGGGCAGTTGTAAATACCAACTAAGGCCACTTGATCCATAGCAGAAAGGGATTATACTTGTTATGAGCATTTCTGTCGTATTTTGTTAATAATGTGTTTGTACAGATATTTGTATTTTCTTCTATTTCTTTATCATGTATGTAGCATCAATTAAGAGACTACCAGTGGTTATCATATTTAAGTTTGAGATACTAAAAGAATGTCCCTCAAGGGACATTGCCACCTATTCTAAGTTTATAATGCATTTGTGGTTCTAGAAAGTATAATTATATCATATTAGGCATAACTATGGTTATTGTTTTTGGTTGGAAATTAAACATGACATAAGGAAATATGATTATGAGTCAAGTTAATAAGGGGTGGTCTTATAATGGCTATTCTTGATTGTCAACAAAAACTCAAATGACTGGGCATACGTGTGAGACACTTTTTCTTCATTAAGTCTTTTAAAGTAGGGTCCCACTTCTAATCCAGATCTCTGAGGTGGGAAGATACACTTTTAATCCAGATTGTTTGAGGCAGGAAGATCCACCATTAATCTGAGCTACACCTTTGTTGACAGTCTATATAAAGGACACAGAAGAAGGAAACTTGCTCTCTCTTCTTTGCTTGCTCTTGTCCTCACTAGCAAGCCCATTCTTTCAGTGGCATTAAAGCCAACTTCTTCCAGATTCCGGCATATACTGAAGACCAACTGAGACATCCAGCCTCATGGATTGAACAACTATTGGATTCTTTGGACGACCTGTTGGTGGACAGCCATTGTTGGATTAGCTGGACCACAGCCTGTAAACCACTTAATGAATTCCCTTTCTATGGATATTCATTCTATAAGTTCTATTCTTCTAGAGGACCCTGTTGTCATTTAGAATTAAAACAGCAGCAATTGTTTTGTTTTCTATCTTGGAACCATGATGAAAAATTTGGTGGTATAAGCCCTTCATTTGCCAGCCTTTAACTGAATGCTTATCTAGTTCTTTGAAGGAAGGCCTCCAGACTAGCTAGAGAGATAATGTGCAATAAATAATACATGGAGTGTTCAAAAGGCTAGATGTCTTGTTTCTGTTGACTTGCTAATGCGGAAAGATCACAGTTGTGGTTAGAAATGGTATTTTAAAAATACCTTTATTATACTTATTTATTTTATGTGTGCACATGTGTATATAAATATGGACACAGAGGTCAGAGGGCATCTTGTAGGAATTAGTTCTCTTATTCTACTATGTAGGTTCTAGGAATCAAATGAAAGTCATCAGGCTTGGCATCAAGTGCCTTAACTTGCTGAACCATCTTACCAGTTAGTGAAATTCTCTAGGGAGGGGTGTGGATGGGGGGGCTGGAAAAATGGTTAAAGTGTGTAATTGCTGTTGCATAGAACCCAGATTCCACTTTTAGTATCCATGTCTGGGGTTCATAAGTACTCATTAGTCTAGCTTCAGGGAGATCTGATATCTATGGTTTTAGAGGGTATCTGCATTCATATGCATATATACCCATAAAGAGACACATACACATAGTTCAAAAATTAATTTTAAAAACTGAATCACTAAAAATATGTTAGTTTTTTGTATAGTGTTTGTACTTGATTGTATGTATGTGTTCATACAGAAGGTTTGGACATGTGTTTATATAGTCTTGTAGAAACCATAGGTCAATTTGAGTCTCTTCCTGGATTGCTTTTCTGTGTTTTGTTAAAAGAGAAGACCTCTCATTGAACCTGGAGCTTTTTGCTTTGCTAGGCTGGCTAGACAAGGATCCACCTATTTCTGTCCCCCAAGTGCTGAGATTACAGAAAGTTTCTGCCATGCTGGAGTTTTGTGTGAATACTGGGGATCCAAACTCAGGTCGTCCTATTTAAGCAGCTGGCACTTTATCAACTTTGCCATCTTCTGAGCTCCTAAAATAGAAAGGATTTCATATGAATTTTGGGACAGGTTATGTAGGAGTTTAATGAGAATAGAAAAATGACGATGTACAGTTTATACATAAGTAAAGGACATACAATAGCACCTCCTCTGTGTTAGTTTGAGAACACTGCTATTAGTACCATGTCCAGTAGGGAGAGTTGCCTGGAGACAGAAGCTGCTAACTCAGATACTATTCTTGTTACTATTTTCTTTGAGTAAGCCTTATGCCTAGCCACAGGTTGCAGTGTGCTCAGTGCTGTGACTTAAATATGTGCATAAACCATATTTACTTTTACCTTCCATTTCTCTCCTGAGAAATGCTGCTCCCTGTGATGTTGGCTCTGTGGACACAGCCTCTACTGTTAATAAATTTCACTTTTTAGGGTCATTTTCTCTCTGACTGTTTTACCAATGTTACATTTTATAGTGTCTATGAGCCACTGTACATCTTTCCATTCACATATCTCCCCATCCTCTCAGAGCAGTTTTCTCTAGGCAGAGATCATAGTTCCTTCCTCTAAACACCTTTCATACTTGACATACTTAAGGTTTCTATGTATAATTGTTGCTCTTTTATTATTTCCCAGTTGTACAGTCAGCTCTTCATAGGTGAGGACTGTGTCTTAATCTCCAACTTGTAGAGTAGTATTTGACTGAGGAACTGTGTATCTACCATTCAGAAAAAGGGGGATGCATCTGGAAAGGAAGGAAAGGGCAAGCCTTGAAATGAAAGGATGACTCTAATTATTTAAAAGAATGAAAGCAAAATACTTACTGGCAGAAGTATAGTTCCTATTACTTAAGTCATTTCATATTAATTACAGCTGTAAGGGAGTGAGTGCTCCTTTGAGTCTGCTAGAGATTCAGTTTTGAGTGAGGGCATTGTGCCTATAAAGAGCTAGTTTATCATATCACAAAACTGAAATTTAATTTCAGAATCAGAGCTTCATAGATAGCCCTTAGAAAATATATTTCACTTGGTTTACATTTAGGTTTTGTCCCTCTTGCTAGAATATCACTCCCATGAAGGCTCAGGAGTTTTGTTGTTCGGTTTTGTTTTTGTTTTTTTGAGCCCCAATTTCTCTGTGTAGCCTGCTGATGTGGGATTCCCCTTTGTATGCTGTGAATGTGTTTATTGCCATTGGCTAATAAAGAAGCTGCTTTGGCCTATGGCCGGGCAGAATATAGCAAGGCTAGAAATCCAAGCAGGGATAAAGAAAGAAAGAATGTAGAGTTGGGGAGACACCATGTAGCCACTCAAGAAGCAAGAGGTAACAAACCACAAGCTTCATGGTAAAATATAAAATAATAGAAATGGGTTACTTTAAGATGTAAGAGTTAGTTAATAAGAAGCCTGAGCTAATAGGTCAAACAGGGTTATAATTAATATAGTTTCTGTATGATTATTTGGGTCTGGTTGACCAGGAAGCCAACACACAGTCTCTGTTTACACTTGACTGTTGGAACTTACTTGTTAGAGAAGAGTGACCTTGAATTCAACTGAGATCCATCCATATCTGACTCCCTAGTGCTGGAATTAAAGACATGAGCCACTACTGCCTGTGTTATTTTTTTTTTTGAGATAGAATCTTGTTATATAGCCTGTGCTTATTAAAAAACAAAATAAACAAAAACTTTGAAAAGTTCAGTTGTATGAACAAGTCTCATTAATACTCATGTCACTGTAGCATCAAATGCATTATACATATGCTATCATAATTGACTATTTCTTTCATTTTTTTTTACTAGGCAAAGAATTTTATTAACCCTTTTCCAAACTTTATTCCCAGGCTTCTTCAGCTTAATTTGCTGTAAAGAATGAATTGTGTTTAAGCAAAAACTGAAAAGAGCTGCAGTGTCCAAGGGGCTTGGGCTTAAAAATATTAGCGATCTAGATTTGATCAGATCCATAAACAAAAGACCTTTAAAAAGCAGCCATGATATAAAATAGCAGCTCCTGTAACTTCTGCAAGAGTCACTTCTTCAGATGTCCCCTCTGTTCAGTTTGCCTCGTTCTTAGAAGCCTCATCAAAATTCTCCACCAGGTCTGGGACTTCATCATCATCATCCTCTCCAGTAGCAAGGGGTGCTTTTCCATCCACAGATTGTTTGGGCAGAGCTTCAGCCAGTCTCCTTAAACTAGTCAGACTGTCTGCCCCAAGCTGGTTTAGAATGCTGGGAAGCATTTCTGTGCTTTTCCATCCACAGATTGTTTGGGCAGAGCTTCAGCCAGTCTCCTTAAACTAGTCAGACTGTCTGCCCCAAGCTGGTTTAGAATGCTGGGAAGCATTTCTGTCAGTTGCTTTGTCTCGGCGTGGCCTGTAATGGTGAAGGTGTTTGCTGCCAGAGACGCCTGAACTTTAGGGTTGTTAAAATGGATCACTGTTCCTTGGTTTGTAAACATGTTCACCTCTTCAATACCAGAGATATTGTTCACCCCTAACTTCTTTAAGGAGAACTGCAGTTTTTTATCATCTGCTGTGGCTGTTCTGTGAACCACCTTCTTCTTTCTGCGAGCAGTTCCTTTCCCACCAATGTGCACTTGTGCCTGCAGCTTGGCCAGTTTTTCCTGGTTCATGATCGTTTCTTTCATCTTGTCGGAGTGGAAATGGAGCCGCGCGGGGGACTAGCATAATTGACTATTTCTTGCCACAGAAGAATTTTTTTTTTCACGAGATAGTTATTTAACAAGTTGCTTGGTGATCAGTGATACTAAAACTTTTTTTTAAGACAGGGTTTCTTTGTGTAACCCTGGAACTCACTCTGTAAAATCAGTCTGGCCTTGAACTTACGGAGATCTACATGCCTTTGTCTCCTGTGTGCTGGGATTAGGTGTGCACCACCACCACACAGCTGTTAATACTAAATTTCAAACAACAACTTTGAGAACAGTTATGAATAAGTCTGTTGTTCTTCATTATTAAGTTACATAAGCTGTTGTACCATCTTTGGTTATGCCAATTGGGTATGATACATTGCACATTGATCTCAGAAATCTTGTGTTATTAAACAGAATGACCTGGAACTGCAGTTAGTCATGACCCCCAATTTTCCGAATGTCACATCCCTCATCAAGGCTAGATATATAATGAAATATCCTATTTCTAACCAAGTTCTGCTTTGCTGTCTACAGAAAGATTCCAAGAGTTCTGAAACATGAAGTTGCTGAGAGCTGAGGAGAGAGATGTCATACAGTCATTACATTTCTTTAGCCTTCATAAAAGGACCTTATAGTCAGCTTTTTGTTTTGTTTTGTTTTCTTGACTATATTTGTAGATCTTATTTAAGTTTTTTGAGAAAACCCAACTAATTTTCCTTATACCCGAATAAAACTGATTGGAACTTAGTACGTATTTTTGGAAGAAATAGCCTTTTTCTAAAAATAAAAAAGATTGTGTGTGCATGCGCGTGCAGTATTTTTGGATCACAAATTAGACAGTAAAACAGTGCTTCTTTCTAAGTGTTACTCATGAGCTTTGCTTAAACACAGCGAATTGATACTTGCCTGGTGGTAACTGGGAGAAAAACTCCTTACCCAGTGAGAAGTGGCATGCAAGGCTCAGAAATGTTAGTGGATCTAGATAAAAGAACAAAGCTCATCAGTTCATAGTTGAAATGTCTGATTGTGGAAATGCTGGTGGGATACGATTCAGATTTGAGGCCTATCCCATAGCCCAGAGTTTAGAGTTACTTGGTGCTATGGAATACATCAGATTGAGGGTTGAGGTGGTCATTACAACTGTTGCTTGTAGTTCTAGATAAAAGTGCATAATACCTTGGGAATAATACCTTGATTTCCACTGGCCTTCTCACTGCTGTTCCCAAGTCCTGATTGTCCTTTCTGTGCATGTTGGCACACAGATATATGAACCTGAATAGTGCTTGGCAAAATCTTCTTCCTTCAGCAGTCTTTTCTAACTGAATGGCAAGAATGCCATGGCATCCATTCTCATTGGTATTGGCATTTCTCTTTCTTTTCTTCCTCCCTCCCTCCCTCCCTCCCTCCCTCCCTTCTTTCCTCCCTCCCTTCGTTCCTCCTTTTCTCCCTTCCTTTTTTCCTTTCTCCCTCCTGTTTAAACTATTTATGATTGTATCACCTGAGGATATTCCACTGTACAAAATTTCATAGCCTGCATTTTAGGGCAGTTGGGCATCAGGATATCTTGGAAGCCTCGATGTTTCAGTGTTTTCAACAGGGCCTTTCTGCCTTTTAATGTTTCTGTTTCTCTCTACAGCTGTATGATTTCTTCTGTCATTACTTCCTTTTAAAATTAAGACTCATGGCAAGCTTTTGTTGATTTCTGGATGATCATTTAGGAGAAAGGAGGCCTCCTTGGAATGGCAAGTTTATAATTTCACTGGTTGTGAGGCCTTGGACATGGTTTCTATCAGTGTGCAGTCCCTGGGATTGTCTGAAGTTTATGTGGTTCCTAGGCCAAGGCCCTTACTCGGCCTTCAGAATTTTGAAATGATGGTGTTGGGTTCCTATCAGATCATCATTTTGTTGGTCATTATAACTTTCTTATTTTAATAAAACAATGAAGTGGTTAAGAATGATAAATGTTTCTTTTTTCATATAGATGCCTTCTTACTTAAAACATAATCCTCTAGTGAGTCACAACTCGCTGACAGTGACAAGCTATATAGCTTCAAGAAAGTCACCTTTGCAGAGAAGAAAGGAAAGTTGCTTCCTCTCCCTGCTATTGAAATAGGAGTCTGGAAGGTGGGAAAGATGGGTGTGTCTTCTGCTGTAGCAGCAGCACCTGCTGGTAGTGATAGCCAACCGCAGACCATCTCCTCCTCCTGGCCAAACCTTCCCTCGGGTGACCAGAGCCCAGAGTGGTGCAGGAGCTGGGACTCCAGGTCTTTTGCTAGCAAAAATGTTCATTTCTGAGATGGAACAAGGTACAGAGAAATGAGAAACTGCTACTTCCTTGCTCTCATTGTGTTTCCTTGGTACCGCGGAAGCCTACGGGGCAGTGAGGAGCTACAGAACTCAGCAAAGCAGCTTTATTTTCTCTGGACCTTATCTTTGCTTTTGGCTGGACATAAGGTGGAATTGGCTTAACTTATGCTCTCCACCTAAAATCACCTTGCCTCTAAGCTACACTCTTTTTTTTTTTTTTTTTTTTTTTTTTTTTTTTTTTGGTTTTTCGAGACAGGGTTTCTCTGTGGTTTTGGAGCCTGTCCTGGAACTAGCTCTTGTAGACCAGGCTGGTCTCGAACTCACAGAGATCCGCCTGCCTCTGCCTCCCGAGTGCTGGGATTAAAGGCGTGCGCTCTTAAGCATAGGCAGATTTGCAAACATGGAGCAGGTTTGGATTTAGATCATCTGACCCTGTCAGTGATTGGTTTGAGGAGCAGTAAAAGTCTGATTTCTCTCCCAGAGGATGAAAGGACAGCCCTCTCTTCAGGTATACATTGCATTGTCTGAAACTTAAAGATCCCATAAATCTAAACTTCTGCTCTGAGCCACTTTTTTTGTTTATTTTTTTGAGGCAGGGTTTTTCTGTAGCTTCGGAACCTATCCTGGAGCTAGTTCTTGTAGACCAGGCTGGCCTCGAACTCAGAGATTTGCCTGTCTCTGCCTCCTGAGCGCAGGGATTAAAGTCGTGAGCACTTATTTTTAAGGTATGGTTTTAAAAAAACGATTACATTTGTTTTTTGTGTGTGTATGTGTATGTGTGTGTGCACGAACACATGAACACATCCAAATGTATGCATGCAGTTGTGTATTGGGGTATTCATGAGATATGCATGTATCACAGAACAACTTGATGGAGTCAGTTCTCTCCTTCTACCATGTTGGTTCCAGGAATGGAACTCAAGTGTCAACTTGGTAGCAGGTGCCTTTATCCAGTGAACCATCCCAGTGGCCCTGAAATATTATTTTTGAAAGTATGAAGTTTATACTTGTTCACTCAAGAAATTTAGAAACCCTTAGAAAAGTGAGTCCTCCTACCACTTAGATAGTGACTGGGGTGTTTTATTCTTTGAATTGTGCATATGCAGTAGGTATAGTTTTGTATTGAGCTCCTTCAATTACTAAAGTATATGCATCATTGCATCTCATTAAATATCTTTCTTGAGACTGTTTTAGACTACATTATTTTTATGTTGTTGTTTTATAAGGAAGAAGTTCCTAGTGGTCAAAAATATATTTTTTGCTGAGATGTCGTAATGTTATTTGTCATTTGGATGAATAACTTGGTATTTATGTTTATAGGAGAAACACACTTAACTATTTTTTTAATTTAATATGTGAGTTATTAACTGATCTTAACAATAAGGAATAACTTGTAGCTTTTGAAAACAATAAATGTAAAGCTACAGAAAGCTTTAGATGAATCAAGTGGGAAATAACCAGCTTAGTTTACTTTCCTGGATTTTACTCTATATGCTTGTGCCATCAGAGGACTCTATTCGAGTGAGTAGTGCAGTATAATGCAGAGAGTAATGTAGCACACAACCATTCCAATTATAATCTGGTACCTATTACATCCGAAAAGACAACACTCTGTGTATCTTAAGACCTTATGTCAAACCTCAGGGAACTTTAAAATGTCACAGAGAAAATGAAATCCTATATTAGAGTTTATGATGGATATTGAACAGGTTTTATTTCTTTTCACAGGACTTGAAACTATCAACAATCTCAGGTGGAATAAAGGGTATTGTCCTTGAACTCAGTTCCTGAGTGTTGGGCTTCCACACAGTGATATCTAATCCCTTTTCTAGAATACCAAGCAATTTAACTTTCAAAAGTTATCCAGGGAGGAATCATTTCTGATTTCTAATCATTCTGTTTGTGATGTCTTTGTTGTACAGTGGGTGGGGCCTTGCAAGTGGGGCTAATTGTCCTTTTACTGATTTAGTCAAGCTGGTGTTTTAGCTGGTTCCTTCTGTGTATTAATGAGCCCAAAAATGCCCTGGAAATAGTTGACTCTGAAATACTTGCTTTTTTAAAAAAAAAAATATATAAAAGTGTATTTTAAAGTGTGGTAGAAAAAGAAGTTGGGTGAAACTCAGAGTCCTGTGTAGTTTGTTGGCCTTCGGTGCCTGGTTTTCTTCTATTGCTGTTAGTTTTAAACTTTTATTCTTCCAGAAAGGCTAGAAGAGATCTTTAGAGGTTTGAAAACAAACACAGAAGCAAACACTAGACCACCCTGCCAGTGAAAACAAGTCCAGAATGAAAACTGGAGAATGCGTTTGTTCTCCTGTACTGAGCTGGGATGTCTACTGTGACTTTTGTATATTTGGTGATCTTGAACATTACTGTTAAGAGGGGGTTTTTAGTTTGTACTTTACTTTTTTGTATTTATGTGAAAATATACAAAAAAACTATTCATTGTCTTTGAACAAAGGTACCCACTGTGCCCAGACCACTAGATACAATACTTGCTTTGTAAATTTTCTTTTTATTTATTCTTTAATATTTGAAAAGATTATATATTCTGTCTTTTTTTTTTATTGAGCTCTACATTTTTCTCTGCTCCCCTCCCTGCCTCTCCCCTCCCCTTCAGTCCTCCCCCAAGGTTGCCATGCTCCCAATTTACTCAGGAGATCTTGTCTTTTTCTACTTCCCATTTAGAT